CATTATCGAAGCATTTCATGGAACGCGAATGCGATCTCACGCAGCAGCACATTATCGAAGCATTTCATGGAACGCGAATGCGATCTCACGCAGCCGCGCATTATCGAAGCATTTCATGGAACGCGAATGCCATCTCACACAGCCGCGCATTATCGAAGCATTTCATGGAACGCGAATGCCATCTCACGCTCGACGCATCCAGAGCTCCAGGCTGCCATGTATTTAAATTGAAAGCATCTGCAGAGCTGCTTTGTTTGTGCTCAGTTACAAATGAGTTGTGGGGAATGTTTGTCTCAGAATGTCAAGCTCTTTCAATGCCAAGCTAGTATTAGATAAACCTGTGTATTAAATGAAGATTTCAAATATGTTAAAAAAATCATTTAGCAAAGCCGAAAAGCGAATTCGTAACAGCAGTGCATAGTTCAAATGAGCCATAGAGCTTGTTGTGCCATAATCGAATCGACTAATAAGATTATTAAAATAATTCATTGGGTTTAAATATAGAATTTCAATACCTAATACGCCAATTTTTCCCAGATATTTATTCCATGAAATTACCGAATTCCAGGTTTCGACATTTGTATCTAAAATCATTACCCACACTCGTAACAAGAGTTCTTTCTTATCATAGTTTGGAACATTGGCTATATTGTTAAATTTGTTCGCTCTTTAGTATTTTGGAAGTCATTCAAAGAAAGATGGATACGTAGTTTGTTATAACATATTTATTGCATTCATAAAACATACGTAAAGTGATAATATTAAATACACGTAATAAAAATTCATTAACTAATTTTTAAGGCCAGAGATTAAAAATAAGTTGAGCAATCGAGAAATGCATGCAAGCTAAATCCGCATTATTAAACATCAATACATGCTCATGCATCAGCAAAGCTTTTGAATAAAGAATCGGTTGACAAGGAACATTGAACGATGCCGCGGAGAATAAAAAGTTATTAATAACGTATGAACGCTCACAACGAATAGGGTGAAACAATTTTATCTAAAAGACTTGAGCGAACTCATTTGGAAAGTGTTTAAAAATAATGATGCAGGAGAAATTGTAAAGTAAATGTGCTGCAAAAATAGAGTGAGAAAAAGCGAGTGAACTTGCCAATCATTCGTCAAAAAATCAGAATCAAGCGCATACAAGGCTCAATAGTTCACGAAAAAATTCTTAGAATTTGCTTAGAATATTAACATCATTTGCAATAAAAAAGGAAACAGAAAAAAACTTGTATAATCATGTCAAAATGTGAGGTACTGTTATAGTTTTTTAACTTTTTGCTCATGAAAAATTCAGGCACCGAAATTCTGTGAATTTGTGTCTATGGCGGTCAAATGACATAAATTTATTAGAAAAACCCCTTATATTCTCACCAGCAGCAACGAGTTGCGTGACACAAGGCTTGCTTGTCGTGCCTATTTCATTAGACGCCCAACACAACAGCTCCTCCTGCAGTAGGTCTGAAGGTGTCGTACGCGTCATGGTGGACACGCCGCCTGACGTACGAACCTGATAGACACGTGCACGTGATGTTACTATATAGCGATTTCAGCGTTTATTAGGCCGTAGGCCCGTCGCCGATTCTTAACCTCGCAGAACATTCACGGCTTGGTGCGGTCTCGGACTCGCAGCTCACTGCTAAAATTCTGCTGTGCTTAACCGCCCGGCCTCCTCGCCGATTCTGACCAGAAACTGGCGCACAGAGCTGGGATCGAACCGCGCCTCTCTGCTCCAATCTTGGTACTCTGGGCCTATACTTTCAAAAAAAGTTAAGAGATCTTTAGTTCATCAGCCAATCATTGACGGCCTTTCAAGCAAAATCCACCAATCACAGACAAGAAAATAGAGCGTAAGTAATTACGTTCACTTAACAAATTTTGAAAGTATGGCCCCTGAACTGTAACCACTGGGCCACCCTGCCGTGAATAGTAAGCGTGACACATACGTATTTGCTACTAATAGGTTTGATGTATAAGTGTGGCATTAATATTTAGTACATGAAACATTTTTGTCATTTGTACGTGGTAAACCATTGACCTACACTAGAGGATGCTAAGTGGATATGATCACTAAAGGTGCCGGTACACAGGGATAGTATTAGCCACTAGTTCATCCGCCGCTTGAACTGTCCACGCTACTAGCCTCGTGTCAGCCGCTTCAGAGCCATGCGCCAGCAAGTGCCCGAGACGCGACCAAGAGGGACAACGATGTGTTGATTTCTGCGCTGGAGAAGTGGCTAGTAGCGCTGATGCAGCCATGGTGAGAGCATCTGTGCCGCTCTTGTGAAGTATCTTCTTGGGTCAAGTGAATCGTGGCTTGTTTGAACGATAATGTTTCTAAGAAGAACCCAACAAAGTGGATTCCGGACGATATTAAATTATTCTCTGAAATATTCCAAAAATATGAATTAAAGCATAATGTTTGCCATGATGGTTACTCTAACAAAATGAAGAGAGAAACGAGTATTTTGAAACAGAAAGAAGACCTTATTAGTTAGAGTTTAGTTGTTGCCGACGCTGCATTTTTTAGGGCTAGAATAAAGAGTATAAAAACGACGTACAGACTCGAGTTGTTGAAGGTGATCCCACTATCCAACTTCGCAGACCTCACTCGACGGCTGCTAACGATGCACTGGCGGGCGCGAACGAGAAGATAGCGGCACCTTCTACTCTCCTTGTGTACAGGCTTACTTGCCGGATAGTCACTAAGCGACCGACACTTGCCAGATTTACTAGCCGTCTGCACTATCCCCGTGTACAAGCACCTTTAGAGAAAAGCACTGAGTTGGGGGTTCAACACCGCAACTGGTTGCGATAGATTCAACTGGTTGTGATAACATCTTTTGTGGCAACAGACAAACATAAATAAACATAAATAAGCAACAGACAAACATAACAGGCATAATTATATATTATATATATATTGTAGTTTGTCAATTATCACCGCAGTGAGTAGAAAATGACGTCGAGTTACTGTAGGTTTCAACATTCAGTTCAGCATTCCGTCAGGAAAAAATTTCAAACAGTATTCGAGCAGAGGCCTGGATTCGTCTATTGACTTTTACGGCAAATTCTCATCTGAAATAAGAAGGTCGAAGAGCATCCTCGATGAAGTGAACGTATGGCTTGACTGGTAATCCTTCGAGACGCTTGTTTAAAGCTCGAAAATGTGACAACCTTAAATTATGAGCCTAGCTTGATGAAAGACTTCATTAAAATTTACAGTTGGTGCGTGATCATAATAAAAAAGAGATCGTTGCAAGCCGCAGAAATAATGTTTAATGAAACTTATGTTTATAACGATCGATGTGGATGTTCACAGTTCATATCATCAATTCATGATTTCTGTTTAATTTTATGAGTATATGTTAATAATTATTATTTTTCAAAATTACATTATCTATCTTACATTGTTTGCACAATATGGTGACGATACTTTACAATGATACAACAATGATACAATGATACAATGATGTTATGAGGAAATTAAAACGTTATAAAATATGATTTAAATATCTATAATAGTAAAATAAGGTGGTGAAGATAATATATAAGAAGGTCGTTGAAATCATGTGACATCGGAAAACGAACGTTGGATCAAAGTATTTATATTAAATTTTCTAATTGTCTAGTCCATATTTGTAGAATTTTTTTTAGTTTTGCGCTACTATCAGAAAAAATTCGTCGTTCCATATCAGAATTTGATTTAGTAATCCCTATTTCGCTTCCATTTTGCTTTTTATGGATAGATCAAGTTCTTCATGAAGCGCTAGATAATCTACGACTTCTACTACTACTATTACTACTACTACCTTTTGCTGTACTCTGGCATCACTCGGGCTTCCTTTTGGTTTCAACTTGACTCCAGTCCGAGTTGACTTTTGTTTGGACAAATTTCGGGAAAAATCTCAAAGAATTCTCGGACGAATCTCAGCTCAAGTTCTGACATATCTCAAACAAATCGGAATGATGGGCAAAACAACGAGTTAAATAATAAAAGAGAGCAATTAAACTAGAAAATTGAATTCTCCTACGAATTTCGAATTAAGGTTCAATGAAATTCTGCACTGTGAATTCGCAATCGATTAGCAGTAATTAATAAGAGAGTTATCATCAAGTCAGGTAGGGTAATGTGATAGGAATGCTATCAAATTAAATTGATTATAATTATTTAAAGGAATGGTGGCATCGCTAGCCAACTATTAATATTTCCAACAATATTATCAATTATATAAAATATATTCAGCAACAATGTTATTCCAATAAAAGGTATAAGCTAGAAACTCCGCAAAAATATTCTATTTATCCAAATTAAAATTTGGTGCAAGGCTCAGCGCCAATTAAACAACAGAGCAGAGTTGCTGCAGGATCAGACTTGACGGCCGAATAGCAGCTGATCCTGAGCAGGATTGTTACCGACTAAGTCGGAGGCGATCAAGATTTGCCTAATGAATACATCAGGCAAGATCTTTCAGTTCGTCATGTTTCATTAAAAAGTAAGCCGGGTTTGGTGCAAACTTCCTTTCAATTCAATTTTTCCAGGTATCTAATAAAAATATCTATTGTTTGAGGACTTCGAAGTCCGAAAAATTCCTTAATAAACGATGCTCTAGTGTATGCGCGGCTCTATATATACGAGCATCATTTAGCATCCTCAGGCAAGAGTCTTTGAATGAGTTTTAGGTATTGTTCTGATTACTTTTATTTCTGAATTGTCATATTGTATTGTCATATTGACGGGTCATATTCATTGTACTAAATGATTGTGATGTGATTTATTGTTGATTGTGCATGTAATATTACTATAAATTATACGTTTGAAAACTCTTTCATTGCTATGAATATAAAGGAAAACGTTTCGGAGACCATCTCCATCGTGATTGATTTGTGATTGTGTGTCTTGATCCTACGAACTGACAATGGAGCTGGTCTCCGAAACGTTTTCTATAAAGATATGAATTTTTGGGACTATTCTTTGCTTTTAAATTCTTATTTATTTGCAATTTAAGCAAAAAAGTGACATAAATTGTTTCATTGCTTCTATGAGCAGACGGATATTGGGTTTGCGCGTAGACCTAAAGGACTGAGAGTTTACAGGTTTTCGTGAGTATAATATCGGGTCTTCTGTTTCCAAGCGTCAAAATTTTTTAGCAGGTAATTAATTATTCAGGACTGTAATTATTCAGGACTGTAATTATTCAGGACTGTAATTATTCAGGACAATTACATATGAAGGCTGAAGGTTGGAACGGTTCAAGCTTTTATTCGAATTTGTATTGAGGTATTCTTCTTTCAACTACACGGTGAGTAATATTAATTGAATAATGTAATGCTACAGGCTATATATAATGACATTATCAGTATTAAATATTTATATTCAGGCATCGATTGCAAACAATCCTCAAAGTGAAGTAGGATCTGTTCGCTGCGTGTGAATAATTTACCTTGTTTTGTTTAAGCTGCCGGTAATAATGGGCGTCTATATAAAAGCAATCTTCTTGACAGTTGCGCTCAGCAACATGTGGAGGTCGTAAATATTTAACATCAATTGCTTGTTCTTCTTCTATGATTACTTTACCAACGCCATAACAGGACCAAAACTGCCTGCAAAACATGGAAGAACTTTATTCAGAGTTGGTGTGAGTGAAAAAATATAAACTACATTAAGTTGAAATAGAATTTGATCGAAAAGAATCTAAAATTTACGTCAATGAACAGAAAAATCATACAAGACTTAATTTATATTTAAAAGCAAAGAAAGCGCCAAGCAAATTCACCATATCGATATTGAAAACGTTTTCAATATCGATATACATATAGTGAATTTGCTTGGCGTTTTCTTTGCTTTCAAATTTCGTGTGAACTTGCGCTATAAGCAGACTGATAATATAAGTACTTAATTCATATCATTTTATGATATCAGATGATTTTTTATAGTAAAAATTACCTACATTATAATCGATGACATTGAGCAATTTTTGACTCATGAAATCACGCTTCCTATTAAGAGCCGAAACAAATCTTCGCCTCAATTGATTTTTTCCGGCAAGGGCTACGTGGTTTAGCTGTTTACTTGCGTTCAGACGCAGGAATCACAGTGAATTTTTCAAGAAGGTTTATTCCAGTCGATGGACTGAGGCAACAAATCTGTGACTTTTATTGTCTCATGACTTGGCAGCGTATAGGAAGCTTATCAATATTGAATGCCTTTGCTCGAACCGAATACTTCCTAGAGATGCCAACATTTCTGTGTTGCTGAGAATTAGGTCTTGCTAGCTAAACAATTTAGAGGCAAATTACGAGTACAAATGTAAGGAAGCTGAATTAAATTCCTCTGCTGTAATTTTTTTGCGGTAAAATTGAGCGCAGGCTTCGTTTACTTCCAAGTAAATTGCTGGCGTTGCTTTCGAACGAAAATTCAGTGCCAGTTACAGAAATGAATTCCTGAAATGTTCATCACAATAACCGATGGTTTACCCTCATTTTTCACATCCACACATCCAGCTTTCTCAGCTTTTATTATTTGTTTTCATTATCAAATACTTCGGGGTTCCCATATCAGTAAATTTAGCCGAATGTTTTTTAGACGAGTACTTCTGAGTCTCGCACGAAGCAAGTTCCAACCGTTTCATGCTCCTATTAATATTTAAAATAAATTGTCATATAACTCCTCGAACACTTACGCGATTCATGCGAGCACTTCGACTATGTCTCTCATAAAACTGGAACAACAATGAAAACCTGTATAAATAAAAAAGGTTGAATAGCACATGCCTAAATCACTGACAAACTGAGCAAAAAAAATGAAACAAACATGAATAAATCATTAGCAAATTAAGCACACCAACATGAAAGGAGCATGAATAAATCTCTGACAAACTATATAAACGAACATGAAAGAAACATAAATAAATCATTAGTAATTAAGCACACAAGCATTAAAGGAATATGAATGAATCTCTGACAAAGTACATAAACAAATATAAAATGAACATGATTTAACCACAGTTGAACATCTACATTTTTCATCATACCGCGGCGTCAGGCTCGAGGAGCGTCACGCCCTGACTTGTGTTGAGGCTCCAGGAGAAGCGCGTAGGGGGCGGGTGAGCGTCCACTGCGCACTCGACGCTTACATTCGCCCCACTGCTCACCAGCAGCCGCTTCTGCTCCCACCGACAGCGAGGGGCAACTGAAGTAAAGATGGGAGAATTGCAATATTTTAACAGCGTGGGGCAACTGAAGTAAAGATGGGAGAATTGCAATATCTTAGACGGAGAGCATTTTTCTTGAAATTTGTTTGCATTTGAGGAATGTTTCGACAAAATTCTACGCTTATGTTGTTCCCGCTGCTCACATGTAACCGCGTCTCCTGCCACCGACAGGGCGGGGTAACTAAGGTAAAGACGAGCGGTAATATTGTAGTCGGAGGAGAATTTTTCTTAATTTTTTTTAAATTTGACAAAAGTTACGGAGAAATTTACCACCTGTTAAATTCTTAGCATATTGAGAATTAGTAGGTTTTCACAGATTTTTATTTATGCAATGTGATAAAGTTAAAAAAATAATGATTAGAACTTTTGAAATAAATCAAATGGGTTTGAATTCAAAATTCCAGACTTAAAATTAAATTCAGATTAAAAAATTTAGAAATCCGAGAAGACATATAATATAAGTTGTTAAAAACTCAAGCAGTAGCTAATATGTTAATCAATTAATTTTATTAAATTGGATGTCGCTAAATAGTTAGTGAACACGACGAAATTAGCCCACGGTCACATGGCTACACAAATCGAATAATCAAAGCAAGTTATGAAGCAAGAAATAAATATATATAAAAACTTATAAATGTGAAAAATGAATTTAAAAAATCACCCTATTTCGTTGATTAAATGTCATTACAAGTTATTATTCAAGTAAATTGTATAAATTTTCGTGCAAATGTATTCATTTGAAACCTCTATAGGGTTGGTTATATGATGAACAAATAAATATTCCTAATGACGAAAATTAATAAATGCTTGATGAAGCCTGAGAGACTGAGTATACATGTTTATTAATCAAACAAACGTTAGTGGTCGGGGAATAAATCCAGATATGTCACGTCAGCAACATAATCTAAATTGCATTATTGATTGGAATGACAATTAGAGATGAAACTTGGCTAATAACAAAAAATTTCTGCCAATTGTGACAGAGCTAATAAATATGTTAACAAATTTCATCATTCAAATGACCAACATTTGCCATTTTTCTCCTGACACTTTTAATGGCTGGAACAACTAAAAAAATAGATCAGTATACTCGCAGCAGTGAGTGCCAGAGAGCGCATTTTCTCGTCCGTCCGTGAAGTCACGGACGGACGGACGAACGGGCATGACGAGCACAATGGCGCTTTTTTCCATAAAGAAGAAAATGCGCTATAAATATGTATTATCACTCGACCTTGCGGCCCACCCCGCCACAGGTTTATGGTCTAGAGTTAGTTCATCATATCAGCACTTACGCACTCGTAAGTCGATTTCGCGTACTTACGAAGTTTTGATAATACGGCCTCTGGCTATTAGTAAAACAAAGAGTTAGATTTCACTAAAATCGAAGCTCCCACATTTAGCGAATAATATTTTCCTAACGCACACTTTCTCCCGTGACTCACACTTGACGTGTAGAGCGTGTCTACACGTCAAGTTCATACCACTACAGGGGAAAATCGAAGCTCCCACATTTAGCGAATAATATTTTTCTAATGCACACTTTCTCCCGTGACTCACACTTGACGTGTAGAGCGTGTCGGTTGCTGTGGTCGGAGCCGCGGGTGTTGTCCGCTCGACAGGAATATTCGCCGGACGCCGCGGCGGTGACGCGCTGCAGCACCAACGAGTCCTTCGTCACTAGGACACCTCTGGCGCGGTCACTCACCACCTCCGTGTCCTGATGGAGACATTGCAGGGGCTTATTGATAATATTCATGTAAATTTGATTTATGAACAGAGAAGTTGTTTGGTTAATATTGCTTTGCATTTGGCACAATGTATAGCATGAGGTAATGAATGCTACCTCAGTGCCATGACAGTGACATTGGAGGGATTTATTGATAATATTCATGTAAATTCGATTAACGAAAAGAGAAGTTGTTTGGTCAATATTTAATTGCATGCGGCATTATGTACAGAATGATGTAATGCCTGCTACTTCAGCGTCCTGACAGTGATATTAGAAGGGTTTATTGACATTATTTTAAACATGCCTTAGTGCCTGCTACTGCCATGTCGTGAGAGTTGCATTAAAGGAGTTTATTGAAAATGTCTTTGCAAATTCGTTTAATAATCAGAAAATAAATTTGATTGAACATTTGATCTAATTTGATTTTATTTTTTACACGATTGCATGCTTGCAACGTTGATTACATACACAAAATGGTGCTATAGTAGGTTCCTTTTTGGTAAATAATGACGATAAATTGAAATATTTGCAAATTATTGATCACATCCAAACTATTATCCATCTTTGCTCCTTTCCAAGTGATTTGTTTCTCATTTTATGGTTTGAAAATCATCGAAATTCGATTTTTTTGTTGCTATTTCGTTGTGAGAGAAGCAACGAAATATATTGGCCGATGAGAATCAGCAGCCTATTTTAAAAATTCCCATCTACATAAACATAATATGTACATATAATTGTGGCAATTCAATGTAGACAAGCAAAATTGCGGAAGTCTTACAGAACTTTTTTGGAAAAAATAAACTGGATTCTTTTGGAGAATTTCAAATTATGAGACCAGAGTTCACAACTTTCACGAAGTCCTAGGATTTTAGACGCACTCGGAACTTTTGGACGCTACTGAAAAACAGGGTTTAGAGATAAAATTACATTTACGTCACAATCAAAACAAGGTAGTGTTCCTCCGATGTTGTATGCAATAACATTGTTTGCATTAACTGACATGCAATAAAGATTGCATGTTATTAATTTATCAAACGTGTTTTGAATTGAGCGATTTAAAAAACTCTCAAATGCTACTAAACTGTCAAACTATCGACATTGACGCTACAACTGCAGTTGTGTTTAAATAACTATTTTTTTTGCTTAGCTCGTCATTGTACCAAGTAAAGAACATGCGTTTCAATTTAGAAGAAAATTTCACGTAGGAATTTCAAATATTCGTCCCAACAAACGAGTTGTTCACCGTTGAAATAGGATCGGCTCGTGAGATTCTTCAGCAAGAAAGGCCTTTTTATCCGCGTGTCTTGTTCACAATTCATCAGAAATATGCCGCTTCACCACAGGGTCTCGCAATTGGATGCACATTTTTTAGGAAGGCAAGCAAGATAAAATCGCCTCGACTGTCGAGAGCCTCGCTGGCAAATGAAAAACGACTCTTAGCGTCAGGCGCAGAGTTTTAGCTGCACTTTTTCCCGTGCTTTGTGCAGGAAGAGTTCACTGCAATCCGACCTTCGGCTGTTCAGTGGAGCATTGTTACCCTTTCTTATTCTTCTCGTCAGGCCAAATTCTGTGCCAGCTGAGGCTTGACACTGGCGTATCTGAACAAACCTACAGCTTTTTTCTTCCCTGGGCGTGGTGGTAGAAACCAAGCGATGCTCGACTTTGATAGATTAATTATGCTGCACGTATTCTATATCTTCCATTCGTAATTTGAAGCGTGAAATATATATCCGGCAAGACATTTTTTTGGTTCAATTTATTAATTGTAAACAACTCCTCTGTGCTCTTGTCAGTGTTTAAGCTTGCTCCTACTTAAATATGACGTCTAAGATGACATTTACCTGTGCAAGTGTAGCCATTTTCAGTGGTAACGTTGTTAACATTCACTAGGAACTATCCAATGGCTCTCATATTCCTATCAATTTTAGTTGAAAATTTCAATGAAAAAAACATTGACGCTTTGAATTTTCAACTCAAATTTACTAGCGAAATTATCTGTCGGGGTTATCTGTTCGACTTCTTTGCATGAAATACATGCTTTTATTACTGATCAAAATTACCTGCTTATATCAGCATCGGGAATAATCTGCTTTCGGATAGATAAAGTTCGTTCGTTGTTTAATATATAATAATTTATACAACAGAAATAATTCAGCCAGAGTAGCTGTCGATCACCAGTAATCGATCACGCACCATCAATTCAAAATGACTGCTCAAGCAATACGTTTACAGTAAGTCACCTCCCCCTGCGTTGCGTTCACTAGTAACACTCGCGTCCAGAGGTACGAGCACGGATAGTGCTTTTGCCACTCGGCACAGATCACCGAAACGCCCCTGACCCAAAGTGCAGGCTACCGCAACGCTCCCATCTTCACCCATCTTCACCTGGAGACCGGCGTCTTCCCTTTGTCCGCGCACCTGAACCTGGCATGTGCCCAGTTCCTCGCCAGCGCCCTCCAGCCCTCCCATACCTCATTCCGCATTGTTTCTGCTCCACTTGGGGACCGCCCCATGAAAGCCTCCATTCAGTCGAGTTTCGGCCACCTTGTCACACTACTCCTGGAAAATAGCATCTTACCTGCTGGTGCATACGGAGAAGCCAAACGGTCTCTCCACAGGGAGATCGCCTCTCGCGTCGTGCGACTGACGCCATAAACGCCGTCCTCGCTCCTCCTCCACCGCCGATTGCATCTGCTGAGACCTCACTCCCGCGCCCCTACCGTTCGGCGCTATCCCAGCTCCACTCGGGATACTGCGGCTCCCTGGCGTCCTACTCCGCTAGGATCGGACGCTCCCCTAGCTCCGCTTGCCCGGAGTGCGGGGATACCCTCCAGTCGGTCCAGCACCTCTTTGCATGCCCCGCCTTCCCCACGTCTCTCAGCGTCTCCTCACTGTGGGACAGCCCCGTGGAGGCAGCGGCATTCTTGACCACCCTCTCTGCCTTCGCCCACCTTCCCCTCTCTTCCGGTGCCTTCCCCCGGCCACCTCTTGAGCCTCCCCCCTTGCGAGCATGATGGACGCAATAAACAACAACAACCGCAACGCTCCTGGTCTACACATAAGTATTCACACCTGCTCTATAACCTCTCCCTAGAGATACATATATGCTCTAGAGATAGGTTCTCGCACTAGATCCAGATCTGTGTTAACGAATCTGTTCTAGATTTAGGTTAGCGCGCCTGCACTAGGTTTAGGTCAGCGCACTTGCACTAGGTTTAGGTCAGCGCACCTGCACTAGGTTTAGGAAGCGCACCTGCACTAGACTAAGGCCAGCGCACCTGCCCTAGACTCAGGTCAGGGCACCTGTACTAGACTCAGGTCAGCGCACCTGCTTGTAGAAGTGGACGGCAGAGGGGGGCGGGACGGCGTCCACGGCGCAGGTGAAGTAAACGTCGGCGCCTTCATTGACGTCGCCGGCGCTGAGGCCGCGGCCCAACTCCAGCCGCGCTACTGGCGGGTCTGGGGAGGAGAGTAACGGGTAGATTAAATTGTTTGTTAATTTGATAATTGGATGATAAATGACGGATAAATTAAATTGTACATTAATTTAATGATTGGATGATAAATAACGGATAGACTAAATTGTGCGATAACTTAGTAATTGGATGATGAATAACGGAGAGATTAAATTGTGCGTTAATTTAATAATTGGATGATAAATAACGGATAGGTTAAATTGTGAGATAATTTAATATTTGTATGATAAATAATAGATTAATTAAATTGTATGTTAATTTATTGGATGATAAATGAGGATAGATTAAATTGTGCGATGATTTAATAATTGGATGATAAATATGAAGATTATTAGCAGAACGTACAATAGTTGGATGATCGGGTGATAAATAAGGAGATTGTTGGTAAACTGTACAATAATTTAGTAATTGGAACTAAATAGGGAGATTATTACTAGACTGTACAATAATTTGATAAGCAGAAACAATGGAATATATGAATATTCATTAAGTGCTGATTAGTCATGAACTATAACATAACGATGCATACAATGACGATTATTTTATGTCTAAGGCTTTAGTGTGAAACTATTCACGAAAATTAGAGTAAATGATGAATTGAAACGGGAGTTGGATTATATGGCTGGTGAAACAATGATTGGAGTCATATCTCAATGAATTAATAAATAATCACGAATTACGTTTAATTGCAAATCCAGCGATAATAAGTAATGCAACGATACGCTGAAACTACACAAACTATGATGTTCGAAACTTAATTAATATTTTTCAGCCATGAACACTAGCGTCCGGAGTGCAGTGTGTTATCTACAAAATATCTAATAATTAACAAGCACGAGAGACTTAATATAAGTCCAGTAATGATGAACATGGGTGATACTGAACATTATAAGTACAAAAGACGAAATTCATTCAATTTCGCGCAACAATGCCTTCTTATTATCAATTTTAGTCGAAAATTTTGTAAAGAAAAATTTGTGCCTCAGAATTTCCCATTGTAAGTGACAGGCGAAATTATTTGTCGAAATTACCTGCCCGAATTATTTGGTTGGAATACCTGCTGGTAATCCAACCCTGCAGGATTACCTTGCATTACTACTTTCCGTGGATTTTAATGTCGAGTTGATGCTCAAAGTTTCATGAAGGCAACTCAAAACCACCTAAATGTCGAATGCAACATATATCTTATTTACCGCGTACCGTAACACATTGCTTATTCTATTATTAATATCGACCCTGACACTCGAGACTCTCGTTATGATTACATTGTATTGAGAGGGTAGCGAGGGGAGGAGAGGGGAGTACGGTGCTGCCCCTCACATGCTGCCCCTCACATGCTGCCCCTCACATGCTGCCCCTCACATGCTGCCCCTCACATGCTGCCCCTCACATGCTGCCCCTCACATGCTGCCCTCACATGCTGCCCCTCACATGCTGCCCCTCACACGCTGCCCCTCACATGCTGCCCTCACATGCTGCCCCTCACATGCTGCCCCTCACATGCTGATTATCAAGGAAGGGGGAAGTTGATCTTTCCTTCATTAATTTATTTAAAAGAAATTCATGCCGGGATGTTACGTCCAACAGCGAGCTATTATGTTACCGTCAGTGAGATGAACAAGATGTTATAAAAGTATTGCAGAATATCGATGCCTGAGAAATGAACCATGATCTTCTTCCAATAAATTATCGGTTTCTTCATTATTTTGTCTGTTAAAAGGAAGATATTTATGAATATCTTATAGGGTCTGTACTTACAGACTCACCCTCTAATAGGTGAGGCAAATCGTCTCACCAATGAAGAAAAAAGTTAAATAACTATGATGTTATACCAAGAAATGATGATATAATACAAAGATGCGTGGCTGATATGTGGCTTTAATAAAAACATCTGACAAAGCAGGCATAATTTCAACTATTTGCCAACTGAGAATATGTCTCTGGACAGATATATAGTTCATGCATCCAGAAAAATGTTTAGGTCATATTGTCCAAATAATGACACACTATTTGAACCACAGCGCGAGAAGAGAACAGACTAGTACACTCTTCGCCGGCCAAACTAGGTCAGCATGACCCACACAAAGGCAAAACGTGCATCGCTTTGTGAACAATGGCACACAGAGCTGCGGTGGTGCAGTGGTGAGAGGCTCAGTCTCTCGCACCCAGCTCCCGGGTTCGAGTCCCACTGAGGACAAGTTCTACCGGGAAGCTCAGCTCATGGTCAACTCAGCCATTCATCACACTCTGGTTGATAAATGAGTACCTGGTTTGTCCAGGGTGTGGTGTAATGCAATCAAATGGTTCTGGCGGGTCAGCGAGCCAGTGATGGTCGTAGAACTACCAGTGGCACCAAGTGCCCGGAAAAACTTACCTATCACCCCCCTCCCTAGTCGTCACTGCCAGGATGGGCAATTACAACAACAACAATGACACACTCGCATCATGTTTGAGCCATACTGTTGAAATAGTGACACACTTTTTTGTGAACATCTCTAGAGAGATGTTCGCTCTCTAGCAGAGAGCGAACAGGTACCCTCTTTGCCTGGCCAAACAAGATTATGATGCCCACATAAAGGCAAGACGAGCATCGCTTTATGGACAATGCCACACTCATTCTTGTGAGTGCAGTGTAGTGTGAGAAGAGCGTTAAGCATGCTGGGCCCCGAGCCGTGTCCTCATGATAGACCGGAGGCTTAGCGCCGCGAGGCCCCGGGCCGTGTCCTCACGATAGACCGGAGGCTCAGCGCCGCGAGGCCCAGGCCGTGTCCTCATGATAGACCGGAGGCTCAGCGCCGCGAGGCCCCGGGCCGTGTCCTCATGATAGACCGGAGGCTGAGCGCCGTGAGGCCCCAGGCCGTGTCCTCATGATAGACTGGAGGCTGAGCGCCGCGAGGCCGGCTTTAGCTCAGCTAATCCTGGCCTCAAGGAGAGACGAGCACTCAGAGGAATGAGTGAGCCTCTGTCCAAATATCGATGCACTTTTCGACATTTTATGGGTCATCCTGACCCAGTTAGGCTCTGCGTAAGGTCGTATCAGAGCTGGACCCGCTATCTGGTCGCGATGTGGGTAAGAAAGTAGGTCGTTATTTGGACAGCATGACCTATACATTTCTCTTAGTGTACGAGCCACCTCGAGTTTTCAAGCCTCCAATTTGCGGCGCTAATGCTATTCCATCGATGGCAACAGCGTCGAGCTTTTTGTTTTATATTCACTGACGATATATTAGCCTTCTGTGACCATTTAGATCGTTGAATTAAACGTTATTCTATGGAATAAACGTTAAATAAACTTATTTTAACGTCATTTCCCAAAAAACGGTTTGCTTCAGTGTAGGAACGCATCTGATTTGCTCTGGCTTCAATATTGCTTTGGTTCAAAGAGGCAGACTTTTTAAAGCTGACCTCGGATTAATTCAGGGAATATGATTGAGAACTTCCCAATCTCGGTTGTCTGAATGTTCTATTGCAAAAACAATCGCTGTGTAGAGAAAAAAAAACATACTAACGAAGATAGTTGGAGTTTGATAAGGATTTTTTTTTGTGACTCGAATTTTGGAAAATATTCATCAACGAAAGGATATCGGAGATGGGCAATGAATATAAGATTTCTGAAACTTTCTGTCAGAATTAATACTCTTCTTAAGAGCTTTACGCATACATAAATTGAAAGTTACACGCATAAAAATTACACGTATAATTTGAAATAACTCTAAAGCTTGATCCAAATATTTGAAAACACAAAATTTATTTCGATTCAAATATAAATTTTTAGCCTTGCATTGTAGAGGAAATAGATTCAAATTTTTTTTGTATATATGAGTTCTTGGTTGCAGAGTATTAGGTTTAGGATTTTGGTTTATCATTTTCAGTTTTCAGTCACCTTAGCCGTGACCTCCCCATCAGTAGGGCGTTTTGTCCATCATTGTGACTAGTGTTCGTGCCGTAGAGGTACGTTAATCCAAAGCTCTGTGATTATTTATGACTGTTGTCATTATTTATGACGTGTTATATTGATTATTTGTAGGTATTAATTTGTTTATTGTATGTTCATAGTCCTAAGTTAGGCATTTCAAGTGTTATTTTTGTTCTATTTCAGGAAGGCCTCGATTATTGGACTTGAATCTTGGGAAGTAAATTGGAAGTGATTGTAACGTATGGTTATGGTCATGGGTTGTGTTTTTCTTGTTAGAGTTAGGATTTTAGGTCGTTAGGGTTTTAGGCTTTTGTTTTGTTTCTATTTATTCTTCGTTAATTATATTTATTTAAAGACTGATTATTCATTGATAAATCCTTGGTTTATTGGTTGAAGGATTGGAGTAAAGAAATATCACGTGCTGTGTGTCGGGGAACGCTTATTCGTTAAGAGATTGTAAGCTCCCCAAAAGCATTAATGTGTAGACTTTTAAAGCTCTTTTAAAATTAAAAGGCTTTTCACAGAGATAGACGATGTCGTTAAATTCTACATACATTTGACCAGGCTCTGAACTCAAAACAATGTTTAGAAATCGTAAATTCAAAAGCCATCTCTAGAAATTTTTAAACTGACAAAAAATGATCACTTCACGATCGTCGTAAACTTATAATCGAGGTAACATTTTCCGAAGAATCAAGCCCAGGTTTCATTCATTTTTTTCGCTGGAATACAAGATCTAAAAATTGCGAGTCTGTGTCACATTTCTGCCTCGGCCAATTAAAAGGGTTTCTGCATCGCAAAAAAATTTCATTTATGGCCTTGTGGCCACGGCATCAAAGCATTTGATTTTACAATCCTGAAGCCATCGAACTTTTTTCGAACGAGCGAAACCTGATCTATCATCGACTCCCAACACGTACAAAAAAATGTACTTGGTTTTTAGCCAGGATTTTTTAGATTTATCCAACCCTTGACAGTCCCCCCTCGCTCCCAGGGGGTCAATATCGACCACTTTGTGGGCCTTGCCCCCAGCCGGGGGGGGGGAGGGGGGGAGGGGCATCTGTGATAACCACAGTCGAGCAGGAATTTCCGGACAAGAAAACTAATAATAAAGTTAGGCAGCCATGAGACGAGCGTCATACGAGTGTTCGGGTCGTGTTGTATACAGCAAGCACGTGTAGCGTGTAGTAAAAGGTCTAAGTGATTAGGTGAAAAGTATGTGGTAAGCAATCATAAGAAAATCTTAGACAGATTATGATGCCAATTCGACAAACTGATAACAAAATTTATAAATAAACTCTATAGTCAATTAGATGATTGCCAAGAAATTTTGTAATACAATATGGCTTTGTGGCGTATTTATTTAGCAATTAATGATATGTGACTTATGGTTACGGATAAAGAGACCAGTTCGTTATTACAGAGAGAAATGGCTCGCCAATAAATATTTTTAAATTATCATGTGTAATTGCTTCATATGAAATCAATGAATAGTAATATATGTGGAAATGATAATTATTTAATGTAAGTGTTGAAATTTGAAATGCCAAATAACGCAGACAACAACATTAGGATGAAGTTATAAAATATTAATATTTGAAAACAATGGTTGAAATCTCTCTCCAAATAAATCATTGTAATAGAAAGGTACTTTATAATGTACGTTATTTATTAGCCAGCATTAGAACTAGGTTATTAAATCCGATTTATATACAGTTCCAGTTTAAATCTCGATCCAGTTAGTGATGATCCAAGATGATCTTTGTTCAATTATTTATTATGTTTTACAATCCATAAGCTAAAACTTAATATTAGTAACGGAAGGCTTCGTTGACCGAGAGCTCGGTCCACTTGAGACAGCTGCAACTAACTATCTTTAAAGAAAGACATAGGGGCGCTCAAGATAATAATAATTACCGATAAATATATAATAAGATAGATAACATAATCCATAGACAATAAAATATAAAATATGATAGATAGCAGCTAACAGTAGCAATATAATGCATAGTCAATAAAATAGATAATAAGATAGATAGATTGCAGCTAAGAGTAGCAATATAATGCATAGACAATAAATTAGAAAATAAGATAGATAGCAGGTAAGAGTAGCCTCATCTGACATGTGACGTAGAGGCGTGAGGCGTTGGTGAGGCTGTAGAGAGGCTGGTTGGGGTTGGTTGCTGTACAGGACAAGACGCTGTCGTGATGGTCGCGCGTCACTGTCAGGGACAGGTGACTCTCAGACACCATCCCATGCGACCGCTCCTGTTCAACATACTTCCGCCTCAATAATTTAGTCTTTTCCAACTGAATTAATAATTAAATCGATACGGAATTAATTTTTTTCGTTAGATACACAGCATCATCAATAATCAAATAAGCATATAATTTGCGAGTGTCATAATTTATAGTTGTAAATTATTTAATTAAAGTTTGTAAGGATAATAATATGAATAGACCAATGAAGGCAAATAATTCCGCTGGTCTAATTGCTATGAATGAATATGTTTATTCATTTTTTGTAGCTACATCTCATCAGCTTTGATTCAAAATTTCTAACTGGTGAAGAAACATTTATTCATTTAAAGCTAGTCGGCGTGGCCACTAAGACGATTGGCCAGTTGCTTTCCATGGAATTAAGTAATTAATTAGTTGGTTAATTAATTGCAGTTAAAATAATTAATTAGTTGATAAACTAATTAATTGCAGTCCAATTTAGATTTATATTAACAGCTCAAGAAATCGTTCTACAACCGAGCTGCTTTTTTGAGCTGGATACAAGGAAGACTTTTTTTATTTTTGAATGAAACAGTCAAAAAATTAAAAATATAGTTTATTTTAAAGATGATGTCATCATTTTGAGATATAAAAGTCTACTATAGCATTATAGCCAAGCAAGTTCGAAAGTCGAGGAATTCTTCTCCATTTTAGAGCAGTTTATTCAAACTAGCAATAACATAATGAAATTTATTAAAAATGTCAACAAAGAATTTCGTGTTATTACGTAGCAAATTATTTTACTTTAAGGATCTTCTGCTTTGGCCAACGAGTCGTAAAGGATCATATTATCGCTATTGCATCTGGAGCCAATTTCCCAGCCATATTCACTTGTGCGGTTTGGGGGCAAATGAAAATTCTTGATCCGAGAAAAGTTAGTGTGTTAGGAGGAAGTTCAAAGTTTGTGCTAACTTTACAAAATTGCCTTGTAAACTTAGGCTTGGCTGGCACATGTCAGCAAAAATGACGCCTGTTAATTGCAGAGCTTTGATCCATATTGCATATAATAACCGTATTCTGGAGTTAACTAGAAGAGGTCAACTAGATTGACTATAGCAGAGCCGTCTAGAGAAGCGAGCGACATTCAGTTGAAAACTGCAGAAGTTGAGAAAATGTATGTATAAATTATAGGATCTATAATTATGATTTATAATTAAGTGAATGAATTTAATCTTCATGAAGGATAACCGAAGTAGTTCACAGTTCTTAATTAAGATGCAAACTGCATTTTGAAAATCTGAAGTAGCTGCATTCAGCACCGACCTGGACCTGAATATTCGCTACATCCATTTCATGCAGTCATTAGTATATAGTCATTAATATATAGCCTTTAGTGTCATAAATGCATTAGCATATAGTCATTAATGTCATTTAGTGCAATCCGTGATGCTGCATACAGACCTCATACCCTCCTGGGAACTTTCAGCTTCATCCAGACACTAAAGTTCTAAACTTGGAGCCTGAAACTGAATCCAGACCCTACACCCCCCACCTGGATGCTATGAAGCAGCACCCAGATCCTACACTACCCACCTGGGTGCCCTGAAGCAGCACCCAGACCCTACACTACCCACCTGGGTGCCCTGAAGCAGCACCCAGACCCTACACTACCCACCTGGGNAGAGACAGCACTACAGGCGGTCATGTCACTAACAAATTACAGGCGCAGTGGACGCACTACAGGCGGTCATGTCACTAACAAATTACAGGCCCAAACTTATTGATAAGTTATATTATTTTTGCAAACACATAACAGTCACAAGTAAATGTACAGCACATATATATTAATAAATATTACTTTTACAAGCATATTACAGGCATAGGAAATAGTTATAAATTATGATATTTTTAAAAACATATTGCCATGACAAATAATTTTGTTTTCGTCGCGCCATTCTACAGGCGAAACACTAAAGTCATTGGCATAACAAAACTAATGTCATTCATGGAGTATAGTAGTTTATAATAAAAATAATAAAATATATAATAAAATATATTATAAATATTTATATAATTTCCGTACAAATATCGCAATACAAAAATTTGTAGTTTTATATTTGAATTGCAAGATAGTAGCCCCTGCCTCGTTAGTGCGATTTATATATGCTTCTTACCCCACTTGAATGCAGCAACTAATCTGCGTTATTCGTTAGACGAGATATAAATTATCATTCACTCTCACTATTCAGGCATGCAAGCTTTCTTCTTGCTCAAAATTCATCATTTAATACAAGCAAAGTGCAAGGAAATACACACAATATTATAATTTAGCAATGTTTGTTCAATGTTAAGTCAGGAAATGAAATACTGATATGATTTTCCACTGGGTAAATAATGCAATCCTCGCCAGACATCAATGATAGCATCAGCGTAAATGAATGAAATTTATAAAGTAAAGATGACTCAAATCTTCATTATTTTTTGATGAAATCGTTTGGAAAAATCCAATCTCAATATCAGCTTCACCTTTGGTGAGGCAGGGTGCGTCAGAAAAATTAATCCCTCAACATTCAAGAAAGCTTATTATTAAAAAAAATGTCGACGTCCGTCTTGATATTGTCTCTTTGAGGACGCGAACGTTCATTTTTCGACCGGCGTTTACGAAGGCAGTTCATAAAAATGTCGTCGTAGCTCCAGTTTTATTCGCTCTAGCCGCCCGTTATATTTAGACGAGGTGAAAAACTCACGTTCTCACCCTTCTTCCCCGAACATTTTTTCTTCCACTATTTCTCGTCTGTAAATTTTGTCCTTTTCGATGCTTCTGATGTTAGACACAGTTTTTCCGAGTTTATTATTAATAGTGTATTTGAATTTTTTAATTTGTTCAGCATTAATTTGTTTTGAAATGTTGGCTTTCTCGCGTGTTAGTTAATCTTCTCCTGAACCAGATCCATTTTCGTGCTCCCACTGGGCAGGGTGGCCCAGTGGTTAAAGTTCAGAGTACCACGATTGGTGCGGAGAGGCGCGGGTTCGATCCCAGCTCTGTGCGCCAGTGAATGTTCTGCGATGTTAAGAATCGGCGACAGGCCTACGGCCTAATGAACGCTGAAACCGCTATTATTACTATGTCAACAATAAATTTTCGTATCAATGGCATAAATTAAACGAAAAGCTACAAAAAGTTCCTGCTATAGCAAAAAAGCTCCTATTGATCCTGCTATAATTTTTTCCTCTGTCCCTCAATTCCTCCTTATTTTGTCTTCACTTTCTCTTTTTTTTCCTCAATATTAAAGTCCCAATTTTAATGTCGTTCAAGTGTGCCGCTGGGAAATCTTTCTGTGCGTTGGTCATCAAATTTTCTGTCACGAAATCAAAATTAACGTCGCGCATGTTGAGCCCAGTGACATTCACTGGGAAAATTTCAAATGTTTTGTACATAAACCATTACTTCATAAAAGTAAATGAAATACTTTGATGTTATATATACTTTAGGCTGGGTTTTCGTGAGTTGAAATGTCAGTCACATATTAGATTAATTTCCCGTATAGCTTTCAAATATAGATTGTCTTACACGAATTTACCCACTGTAAAGCCACAAATAATTTCAAAAGGATTTTTTTACCCGTATACTAAGAAACTGCAAAGTTATGCCCATTCGAAATATTGTGAGCTTTTGATCATCATCCCAAATTAGTCTTCACTCTGCATTCAAATCTTTTTTTAAAAAATTTATTCGCTCGTGTTAAAAACAAAATTTTTTAGTCCTAGCAATAATGTCCTTTCCCTTTCAAGCCTGAATAATCTTATGCATACTATCACCAGAAGAAGGTAAAATGTTTGGTTGATTTATCTCCTGTTATCTGCAAACCTCCAAAAAACCTGAACCCAGTTTAAATTGTAACATTGGAGCTCACATTTTTAGGTTCTATTTGTAGAGAATCTTGGAATTTTGGACGGAAATCATCGACAACGCGTCTTCTTGGAATCGGATCAAACCGAGACGCAGGCTGCCTGCCTTCAAGTCTATCAAGCCACCTGATTCCATTGAGCAGCGCGAGCCCTTCTATTACGTTCATTAAATCTCACCTGAACTTCCCTACTCTTTCTTTCAAAGTTCTGTCGACCTCGAGACAAAAGCGCGTGCCATTAACAGCCTGGGCGTCAACTGGTACAAGCAAGCTGGTCTCTTTCTAAAGACCAGAACTGTAGGGATATTTAAAGTGAATAAATAATGCATTGCAGGAAAATAACTTTTAGTGCACGTTTATTGACGAGAACTGAATATGCAGCAATGAATATTAAAAGTAATCGATATTGGTTATTTTATCGGCTGTAAATCTGTTAGTGGGTGAGTATGAGTATTGTGCCGAACAATACACTCGCTTAACAAGTTTAAGGGGAGCGTCTACCCTAAAATTGAAAATTTTCACTTTTTCGGTTTTTATACTCATTTTAAAGCTGACATTCTGCCAGGAAAAATGCACCCCACTTCCACAAAAATTGGAATTTCAAAAAAAGGGGATGAACATTTTGTAGATGAAGACCTTACGCATCGAATGATATGAGTTTCAATGTTGTAGCTTGGAAATCCTAGTACTAGATCCATTTCTACAGTACCCCCTTTTATAGTCGTTTTCTAAGAATTTCACGTATTCTTTCCTTTTTTTTCGAAAAATTTACACGAACAAAATGCGGGTTTTTTTCCATTTTACATATGTGTACCAAGTTTCAGAGTGATCCGACTGTAAATAGCCGAGATAATTTTTAGGGTAGACGCTCCCCTTAACATGAGTGAGAAGCCTTAAGAAAGGGAGGATTCTCATTGAACTTTCATTCCGGATACATTTTTTGCGAACGATGTGTGATAGAAATGAAGTTCAATCTGTATTCTATCTAGTGAAGTGTTGTAAAAAAGCACGAATTTATGCTTGATTTGTTAGAAATTTCAATTTGAAATTGTTTGTGGAGCGTTATATGAAAAAAAACGCGAATGTTGAATGAGTCGTCCAACATTTGTTGAAAAATGAACATCA